CTACTAGCGATGGCCTCCAACCTCTACTAGCGACGGCCTCCAACCTCCACTAGGGACGGCCTCCAACCTCTACTAGCGATGGCCTCCAACCTCTACTAGCGATGGCCTCCAACCTCTACTAGCGATGGCCTCCAACCTCTACTAGCGACGGCCTCCAACCTCTACTAGCGATGGCCTCCAACCTCCACTAGCGATGGCCTCCAACCTCCACTAGCGATGGCCTCCAACCTCTACTAGCGACGGCCTCCAACCTCTACTAGCGATGGCCTCCAACCTGCTAGCGGGCTGAGAATGAAAAATGACACAAGGGCAAAATCATGTAGACTGAGCATAGGTAGTTGCGCAGGTGATGGCTTCAAACCCATTGGCAGAGCGTCTTCGAAAGGACCGATTCATTGGCTCAAAGGTTGCCCAACCTTTGTGATGTTTGGCTTTTTCCGTCAGAGGAGAAGGACTTCAACAAGATCATTTTCATGATCATGCCATGGAGCCATGGATTTGATGGTGGCTGGGTGGCTCTGTGTTGTGGAATGTGGATGTGACTCCCTAAGGATTTGGCAAGGCAGCCCCATAGATGCCGAGAAGCGCTTTCGCATTTGTGCACGAGAAGCCCTCCATCGAGCATCTAAACACTGCCAGCAGGTTGCGCAAGAAGCTTCAGCCAAAAACTGGAAGCTGCCCGGATATGAATCGGACAGGAGTGGACACAATGTCGAGACAAGATGCTTTAATCACGAAAGGTAGCGGTTACGCTACCTGAGTTTTCAAAGTTTTCCTTTTGCTTTAGCAAAAATTAATTAAAACTAGAGTGGACATCCATCTCACTGAGAAATCGCCTCCGACATTTACTTTTAAGGGCCGAGGGGGGGGCCCCTCCCCCCCTTTCAACTCCACCCTGGCGCGGGTCTGTGGCTGTCCGGCCAAAAACATCAAAACCCGATGGTTTTTGAAGTGTTTAGGCTTCCAAAATGGTCGAAAAATTGCCAAAAACCTGGACAGATTTTGTCGGAAAGGGCTTTTTCGGCGTTTGGAGGCTTCTAAGTGGCACAAAACGACGGTATTTACATGGGTTTGTGCGCCTTCCCGGCACAAAACCCTGTAAATTGCGATGGTTTTGGGCTGTGTACGCTTCAAAGTGGCCACAAAACACCGTAAATGCCTGTGTTTTCATGTGTTTTCAGCTTCTCCTATCTTCAAGAGTGGCCTCAAACCACGCTATTTGCAGGTTTTTTTTGTGGCGGAAAGGGCTTTTGCGGTGCTTAGAGGCTTCAAAGTGGCACAAAGCGACGGTACTTACACGGGTTTCTGCACCTTCCTGCCACAAAACCCTGTATATTGGGATGGTTTCAAGCTATGTACGCTTCAAAGTGGCCACAAAACACCGTAAATACCATTAATTGCCATTAATACTACCTTTCGTTCACCCCCTCCTCTCTCAAGTGCGCTTGAGTCGGTTCGCTACGGGGATACAAACTTTTTGATCTTTTTTGACATCAACTTTGAATCTGCTGACTATAGCTTGAAACGCTTGTGCTGTGCATTTCACAGAGGTTTCTGCTCAAAGGTGGGAAGTGGCGAAAATGTTACCGATGCTCCATGCTCAAGATAGCACCCCAGCATGGCTTGGCTGATCGACGCGCTTGGTCACATGCGCCAATATTTAGCACACCCGTAGATAAGTATACTAATTGAACGGAAACCTTTTCGTTTAGATCGCCAATGTCACAAAGAGGTCCACCTTCTTTTAAGTCACCCGGCTAGGCTTCTGAGAATCTGGCCAGCTGACCAATTTAGCACCAGATGTTTGAATGGCAGCGGCGGCCCAAACTTTAACAATTTGAAGAGATTTTAATGTGAGTAAGATGCCTTCGTGAAAGGTAAACACGCACCGCGAAAGGTTTTGCGAACTGTTCATGTCCGAAAGCTTGCGAAACTAGTCGTTGCGAAAGGAACTTGCGAAAGAAGAGTCCATTACCGTAACTGGTTGGAGGGGTTGTGATGACTTTAAGAATGTCAGAATGATTCAGAATGATATATGGTAATTTTATGTATATACTTTGAAGTGGATGCACTGACGTAGTGATAAAGCGGAACAATGCCATGCTTTAAACTCATTAAAGAATTTGAAGATGAAACTCTTCTCGCACTGTGCAAGTCAAACTGCATAAGTGCAGCAGAACTAGAACCAACAAATTGGCTGGGATTGGGATTCCTTACAAATGCAGTTCCCCTTGTATGACGGCTTTGGATTGCACATAGACGCCCGGTAGTGCAAAACTTGTCCTAGGCTAGCTCGGTCAGGTCGGCATCAAAAAGTACAACCCTTTGCAACTCCTTCAGTTGGCCTTACGCTCTGAGTCCTTTGCTCCTAGTAGCGTTCTTGCTACAAGTAGTAAGGCCAGGAGCCCCTAGTAGCGTCCTTGCTCTAGTAGCGATGCCCTTTGCTCCTAGTAGCGTTCTTGGTCCTTCGAATCGGTTTTGGTCTTCCGGCTTTCACATCAAAACGGATGCAGAGCAGGTTGGTCGCAACTGAAAGGCTCTACAGGAAAACCTCAGAGCGGTAGGGGAGGTGATTAGCTACACTGGCCAGACCTGCAAAAGACGACATGAGCCCTGAGATAAGGTTCAGCACGTGTAAACAGTCGTTATTCAGCCTTTTCGATGAAATGATTTCACAACATGTCCCAAAAAAACAGCTTCCCACAATGGAGCAAGGACGCCGATCAATGAGCAATTCTGAGGTACCTGCAAGGTGCTGTGGCAATACCTAGCATTGGTGGTGGCATTTATGGCTACGAGCCTAGGAATAGTAGCCTTGCACTGGTCGAGGAGGCTTTTGAGATGCTCCTGCAAGTGGAGGCGAAAGATGCTCCCAAATTGTTGCTTTTTGTGCGTGTCAGGGGCCTTCCAGACCTGAGATGGCATAAGCTAAGTATTTGCAGTCAAACATCGAAAGTGTTTTTTCTTGAACCAGAAGTGACACTGCGTGGTCAGGCAGAACAGCCGAGCTACGCCTTGCAACGGATCGCCTTTGTCGATTCGGACCTGGAGACGGCTGAGGCTTTTGCCTCTGCTGTAGTCGAGGTGAGAACATGCCAAGAGAGCTCAAAAAACAAACAAACACTAGTAACATCTAGTAACAAGGGCATCGCTACTGGTGACAAGAGCAATACTAGTAGCTAGAAGCTACTAGCAACAAAGGCATGGTTACTAGTCACAAGGGCATTACTACTAGTAGCTAGGAGCTTCTAGTAACAAGTTCATCGCTACTGGTTACAAAGGCATTACTACTAGTAGCTAGCAGCTGCTGGTAGCAAGGGCATCGCTACTAGCGACAAGGGCACAAATACTAGTGCTATTAGTAACAAGGGCACCGCTACTAGTGACAAAGGCAGTAACAAGGGCATTGCTACTAGTGACAAGGGCACTACTACTAGTACCTTGAAGCGACTAGTAACAAGGGCATCTCTACTAGCGACAAGGGCACTACTACTAGAACAAGGGCGTCGCTACTAGTGACAAGGGCACTACTACTAGTAGCTAGAAGCTATTACTAGTAATAAGGGCATCGCTACTAGCGACAAGGGCACATCTACTAGTAGCTAGAAGCTATTAGTAACAAGGGCATCGCTACTAGCGACAAGGGCACTTCTACTAGTAGCTAGAAGCTACTAGTAACAAGGGCATCGCTACTAGTGACAAGGGCAGGGCACTACTACTAGTAGCTAGAAGCTACTAGTAGCAAGGGCATCG